CTGCATCACCCTGTTGTGGAGCACAGACGGTGGACGTAATTTAAACCGATGGCCAAACTTGCTTGCTTAGCCACCACATACACATGTACAACAGCAGTTAGACAACGGTATAAGCTCTGTATTGCACAAAAAACGCGCCCCATGAGGCAGCCAGACCACTCCACCCCCCCGTCTCCATTTTGGCCCAGCAAAGTCTGGTTTTTGGCGGCCAAAGAAATGAATGCCGCCGGACACCGGCGGCAGCGGTTCTTCTTACCCAACCACCCTGGTTAGCAATCCATCCAAAGATGTCCAGATTGTGGCAGTAGGAGACCAGCGACTGGACGACCTGCACGACCGCACCAACGATGCCGCGCGCCAGCCGTCGTACCGCCAGGCGGTAGCCGAAGTAGAAGAGGGAGATTATCTGACCCCAGTTGGTGGGGCGACGGGTGAAGAAACTGAAAAAAAGGAAGAAAAAGCAGGGCGTCAAAAAAACCGGTTTGGTGGACAGACAAAGGGCGTGGTCACACCCACACACCTACACAAACAAAAACATTAGGTGCGCAATTAAGTCGCATCCCAACTTCCAGTTACTGATTACGGGTTACGCCAACTAACCACTAAATTTGAGCGGAGCAAACGTTACCAAGGCAGTACATGCTGTTGAATACTTGTATATATTTCGAAGGTAGGCAGTTATCTGCGAAAAAAACTCTGGTCTTCGTCAACACCATATAGGCGCATAACTTTGGCAACCAAAGGCGTTGTTTTTCTACATTCGGCGAAATGCTATATCCAATCACATCGACCAAATTTCAAAAGTGTGCCACTTTCGGGGAAAATAGGGGGGGGTGGGTAGAAAGGTCCAATACGTCTGCTGGTGTGGAAAACACTTCGCAACATCCGACCAGCCAAGACAACAACAAAAATCTTATCAGAAATACGAAGATGTACATTGCTCATCCTTATGTCTATAGAATCAAAAAAATATTTACAATTCTGAGAGACACATTTGCCTCTTCGGGCAAAACCGACCCTGGGATTAAGGAGGATTCGGTGGCTTAAAACAAACATTTGCTATTCCAGGTCCTTGAATCAGTTCCTCTGTCCATTAACAGAAGTATGAGAAAAAATACTTCAAGGAAAGGCATCCTTTGGGAAAACGAAGAAGTTTATCGAGTAACTTTTCGACACTGGATCTCCGGGTCGTCGTCAGACTTGAGAAAAATGTGCAAAGAACAATTAACAGTTCAAAGTGCTGGTACAGTTATATAGTCGTCTAGTGTGGACGCTAATTGGTAGTTGCAATTTGCGTCACATCGTGGTGGGCATCATTAGCAGTCACAATGGCATAGTGGCTAATTAGCAACTGTAATTTGCAACTACCAATTAGCGCCCACACTAGACGATTATATAACTGTGTCAGCACCTTGAAAGGTTAATTGTTTTTGCACACTTTTCTCAAGTCTGACGACGACCTGGGGATCCAGTGTCGAAAATTGACTGAATAAATTTCCTCATCTGCCCAAAGGACGCCTTTCCTTCAAAGTACATTTCTTGGGATTCCTGCCTTCCAGGTTAAACGAAAAAAAAGACAATTAAAAATTGC